GATTGGTTAGGGTGTGTGATGGGGGTGGGGTGCTGGCAGCTGCTGTGTTCAACCACTGCCGCGGGATTCCAGGGCTGACTGGGCAGCTGAGCCACAACAGGAGATCAGTTTACACACACATACACACACTTTTCTTCCCACGTCATACACTATGGGGTGTGTAGATAAATATTTACTTGAATACTTGTATGCCAGCTGCAAGTGCATTTTTATGGACCGTCCATGAGCAGCGGCCCTCCAGGAAACAGGGAATGAGCTGTGATTGGCAGAGTGAACTATGGCTCATTGTAATTAGTTACTTGAACAAGTACCAAGATGTTGGCACTCAGCGCTCCCCTTCGATTCTCTGCCGTGCTCTCGTAAACACTGCTTGCTTCTCTCTGCAGTCTTTCTGTCTCGTCTCTCACTGTGCGTGTCTCTCCTCTTCCTGTCTGACTGTAGAAAAATCGTGTGCACCAGCAGCTTCATGAGCATCTGCAGGATGCCATGTCCTTCTTAAAGGATGTCTGCGAGGTATTCCCGCTCTTCAGACAGTCACGTTCTGTCCTTCTTTTCCATTCAGCCGCCATCGACTTTCTTTTGATTTGGCTGTGCTTTTTCTGTTTTGTGCTTTTGTTAATTTGCCATTTCATCTTTTATTGGTCTTTGGTGATGTCAATACATGAAAATGACCATATTGCAGTTAGTTAGTTGTTTATTCCTTTCACTTTTTCTCTTCTTTTCCTTTTCACTGTTTTTAAATGTTCATTTGCTTTTACAATGTTTGCCATTTCATAATTCTATGTCTTTAAAGTCTCTATTGATATTTGTTTTCATTTACGTTTGTGTTTTTTTCTCTCTCCCTCCCTCCACTTCTCCTTGTTCTCCATCGCTCATTTCAGTCTCGGATGGAGGACCGGCTGGACAGGCTGGACGATGCAATCCATGTCCTGCGGAATCACGCTGTGGGCTCCACTGCCGCCCTGTCTAGCGACATCCACAACCTGTTAGGACAAGCGCACAACGGTCCAATCTCAGCCATCGGCACCAGTTTCCCGGCTTCTGGATTGGTCACCAACCGAACAGCACAAATGGTAAGGAAAACTTCACAAACTGTCACAAAGGAAACTTTAGCTTATGTGTTTCAGAGTGTTCTGAATGTCCCATTGCTTTTGAGGTCAAAGTCTTGTCCAGTTATTACAGGCAGTAGGGAGAGAAATGCATGTGTTTTTTCATTGTGCCTCTCCAAATAGGCTAATAAACAGAGTTAAGCCACCTGTTTAAAATGAAGGCCTGGCCATGTGCTGAAACTGAACTATTTTCCACTGAGAGCAGTTTAACTTAAACCCACATACTTTCCATAAGCGTAATGGCTGGACCGAGGCTCATTCTCCCTCCTTGAGCTGCGTTCCTCAGGCTGAATGGGAAAAGCAGTCACAGTAGAAATCTAGTATATTAGTGGGTGTCTGGAAGACATTTCCGCACTGTAGCTCGATGGGGCTGTGGGGACCTGCGTGGTGTGAGATCTGCTGAAACTAAAGCAATCTGTATCTCCCCCACCATCCCATGACATTCATTCCCTTCTACAAAGAGATCTGCGCACAGCTGTATTAGTCAGAACATGCGAGGGAGGCGTTTCCCAGTGGTTTCCCAATAATAGGAAATAATCATGGCCTTTTTTTCTGTATTCAAAACAGCATTTGGATTTTCTTTCAACTTAATGTGCTTTCAAATGAACTGACACTGACCTCTTTGCTTTTGTCCGAAGACTAAAGCAACACTCAGAAATGTTTTCATGATTGATACAGTGGGAAGTTTAGCCTCGGCCAGTTGACCACGAAGATCTGAAATTTCCTGATTCCCATTTAATGTTTCAAACAGACAGTTAATGTCTGGAATGCTGTATCACATGTTAGTGAAGCTTTCATAGACCTGTTTATTGACGGCTCAAGTCAAACAAAGTTTGACATATTCAACATGTACAATTAGAAAAATCAATAAATGTCTTTTTTATAGTTTCCTTTCCTCTTCACACAAGCCTCTCTATGTGTGCCAATAATATTTCATAGCCCCAATCTAAAAGAAACACATTTAGAAATCCAAATGAAGCACAAACACTGTGCCCTAACGAGGCATGACAAAAAATGACAAAAGCTATATTTTTCAGGTAAATTGATAAAAACAAAAAACTGTGATTGTAACAAGTGTCAAGACATGCTGACAGTTGTTGGTTTCATTTCTGCAGTGTCACACAGAGTAGCCCCACCCACAATTGTGTCCAAAATCAAGCTCCACATAACTGTATATTTAACATCAGATATCTTCATATTATTGATATACACAATAGTAATTCAAAGTGCTGTAAATAAAAAGGATTTTTTTTTAAATCATAAAATAATTCGAACAGATGCGTAAGACATACAACTAACAAAAATTATTTAAAATGTATTAAAAAAAAAATTAGAAGAAAAGAGATTATACAGTGCAATAAAAACAATGTGTATGATAAATAAAAAAAATTATTTAAGTCTATATAAATACATTTTGTTCACCCAAAAATCAAAATTCTGTCATTATTTGCCAACCCTACTGTTCTTAACCTGTATGATTTTCATCTGTGGAAAAAAAAGATATTTTGAGAAATGTGATTTTTCCATACAGTGGAGTCATGATTTGGTTGCCAGCATTCTTCAAAATATCTTCTTTTAGATTCCATAGAAAGAAAGTCATGTAGGTTTGCAGCAACATGAGGGTGAGTTAAATGATGACAGAATCTTGTGGCTGTAATTTACAACAACAATTAAATCATTCTCTGGTTTGCAACATAGTAACAAAAGTGATGTTCACGACTTTTTGGCTCGGCACAGCTTATGTTTTCAATCATGATGAACAGAGGTGCGTTTTATTCAGGCAGAAGAGAGGAGATTGCAGCAGAGTGACAGAGCAGTGCTATGGTTGTGTCACGATACGTTCGTCTACGTGGGAGCTGTCACACTGCTGTCAGTGGACTGTGTGTTCATACATACACAAACAGAGCTCTGTGCTACAGGCTCGACCCAAACACACACTCAGACAAGGTCCTGATTCACCACAGCCAGTGTGCTTTTAGTTTGCAGCACTCTTTTCTCTTTCTGTCTCCCCTCTTTTCTTTTTTTCCCCCCTCGTCTTTTTTAACAACTCTGGAAATCTGATGCTTTAGTCATGTGTGCCTGAGCGTCTCAGCTGTATGGTAATCAAGCCCAGACAGAAAAATGGCCGCCTTCTTTGGTTGGCACCCCCCTCTCCTCCACCCCTCTTCTGCCACAGACAAAGAGTTGTTTGGACACCTGTTGAGAGTGGCGCTGAGATTAGAGCGTGGGGGAAGGGGTTGGGGTCTGGGCGGCACGGAGGTTAACAGAGGCCAACAGTGACTTAGGAACGCATTCCTGGGTGGAAGGAAGAGAGTTGGAGGGGGGCTGCAGCGGTTTCTTCTCCACAAATCTGATGCTTTAGTCATGTGTGCCTGAGCGTCTCAGCTGTATGGTAATCAAGCCCAGACAGAAAAATGGCCGCCTTCTTTGGTTGGCACCCCCCTCTCCTCCATCCCTCTTCTGCCACAGACAAAGAGTTGTTTGGACACCTGTTGAGAGTGGCGCTGAGATTAGAGCGTGGGGGAAGGGGTTGGGGTCTGGGCGGCACGGAGGTTAACAGAGGCCAACAGTGACTTAGGAACGCATTCCTGGGTGGAAGGAAGAGAGTTGGAGGGGGGCTGCAGCGGTTTCTTCTCCACTGCGTCGCTAATCACATGGCAAGACATTGATCAAATCCAGATGCGTTTGGAAGCCACCAGTGACGAATGACAAACTGTCATTTGATGTTCAGCATGAAAGGGCAGATTGTTTGTTGCCATATCCACATGTGAATAAGCCATTTTGTTTTAAGGGAAAGTTTTTCTACATATAAATGCTGACAAATGATGTCTGGGTGTCTAAACATTTTATAAAACCAATCTTTCAAGTCAGCTTGAAATCAAAATTAATTTACTCTCCTTTACTATTCACAATGCAACAGTGCATTTTTTCTAAAGGGGAAAAAAATGTTGTTTTCAGATTTTCATAAAAATTGAATAACTGACATAACCAAGGCAGTGCAAGGTCCTAGTTCATATTTGCCAGTGGTAATTTTGTTAAGGAAATTAATACTTTTATTCAGCAAGGACACGTTAAATTGTACTGGTCAAACTGTCATTTGATGTTCAGCATGAAAGGGCAGATTGTTTGTTGCCATATCCACATGTGAATAAGCCATTTTGTTTTAAGGGAAAGTTTTTCTACATATAAATGCTGACAAATGATGTCTGGGTGTCTATTTAAACATTTTATAAAACCAATCTTTCAAGTCAGCTTGAAATCAAAATTAATTTACTCCCCTTTACTGTTCACAATGCAACAGTGCATTTTTTCTAAAGGAAAAAAAAAATGTTGTTTTCAGATTTTCATAAAAATTGAATAACTGACATAACCAAGGCAGTGCAAGGTCCTAGTTCATATTTGCCAGTGGTAATTTTCTTAAGGAAATTAATACTTTTATTCAGCAAGGACACGTTAAATTGTACAAAATTGACAGTAAAGACATTCATATTGTATTTGTTACTAAAGTTTTCTATTTTAAATAAATGCTGTTCTTTCATACTATATATTCATCAAAAAATCCTGAAAAAAGGTATAGCAGATTCCACAAAAATATTAAGCTGTATTCAACAACTGTTTTCACCATTGATAATAATAATAATAAGGTTTCTTGAGCACCAATCAGCATATCAGAATGATTTCTGAAGGATCATGTGACACTGAAGACTGGAATGATGCTGCTGAGAATTCAGCTTTGCATCGCAGGAATTTTAAAATATATTTAAATGGAAAACAGTTATTTTAAATTGTAATAATATTTCAAAATAAATGCAGCCTTGGTGAGTCTTTTTAAAAAAATATATGTAAAAAAAAATCTTTTGAATGATAGTGAAGACGCTGTTTTACGCTGCTGTTGTAGGTATTGTAGCCTTCCCAAATTCTTGCCAATAGTTAATTTAGTAGTAATTTAATATGTAGGAGCAATTTATGTAATAATGGTTTACAACATTAATAGCCAGTAGTGAGAGATTTGAAAATGTCGAAATCATGTGAACCATAAATTTCACATCCCACCAGAAAGCCACCTTTATTGTTTTTATTATTATTATTTTTAAGTAAAAGAAATGTAATATGAATTAATTAGTTATAATTAAGATAAAACATTATATACAATAAAACATATTGTATATACACACAGTATCCAAAACAATACAGTATACAATATACATTTATGTGCTTGATGTTAAAATGTTTTTAAATGGCTTGTTGTTCGCTGCTTCCCTTCTGCCACTATCCCTGAAATCCAATATAGTCTGAAGCGGGGCAGCATCCAGTACAATGTCATGTTACAATCAACCTGCCTTTCAAAGACTCACGATAGACACACGCTTTCAAATTGAAAACAACATGAGAGTGTTTTTGGTGGGACAGAGTCAGAACTCAGGCCTGAAGTGCCGTGTGTCTCTCTGAGCAGGAATTTGGGGCTGTGAAGGTCATTCTTTGTAATGTGAATACCACTCAGTTCTTCAGAGGGGAGGTCACACTCTACAGTAGGGACACAGAGACTCTCTCATCTTTGAAGTCCCAGATCTGTCTCTCCTCCGATTGAATGTAAATCACTTTTGTTTTCTCTGCACTGATCAGATGGCTTCATGATCAGAGGGACTCTGATGTTTTTCTCTGTCTTGTGTATTTATGGCTATCTGTTCTGACAGGGCTCTGTTCACCGCGAAGAGACCGTCAGCCTGAACAACAACCACGGTGGCCTGCAGGCCAACACCGGTCCCACCTCCAGCTCGGAGCTCAACCACCAGGCAGACACGTTCAGAGGTTGGAAGCTTTTTTTTAAGCCACTTTATTATAAGTTATTGTTTTGTTTTTGTAATGGTCGTGTGTGCCTCTTCAGTTATGATTCATACGCAGTTTTATGACCTTACAACAAGTCACAAAGCACTGCATTTTAGATGTCAAGTGTTTATTTTAAGTATCTATGTACTTTCATTGTATGTGACAGCAATCGCTAGCGCTCTGGCCGGTCAAATTGCTTCTCCTCTGGACCTGAAGATCGAGAATCAAGAAAAAGATGAAATGCACGATAACCAATCCTCCGACGACCTCAAATCAGACGACGAGAGTGATAAGAGGGATACGAAGCAGACTCGGGGAAGCACTCGTCCAAGGCAAGGCAACCGCTCATCAAAGCGTTCAAAATTATCGATTTTTCTTTTATGCCAAAAATCATTAGGATATTAAGTAAAGATCATGTTCCATGAAGATATTTTGTAAATTTCCTACCGTAAATATATCAAAACTTAATTTTTGATTAGTAATATGCATTGCTAAGAACTTCATTTAGACAACTTTAAAGGAGATTTTCTCAGTATTTAGATTTTTTTTTGCACCCTCAGATTCCAGATTTTCAAATAGTTGTATCTCGGCCAGATATTGTCCTATACTAACAAACCATACATCAAAGGAAAGATTTCAAGAAATTAATCCTTATGACTGGTATTGTGGTCCAGGGTCACATATAGATGCAGTGTTCAGGTGTTGAGGCCACATTGGTCCCTCCATCTTGTCTGAGCGTTGTGAATGTTTCTGCAGCAGTGTCAATGAAGACGAGGACCTGAACCCCGAGCAGAAGGCAGAGCGCGAGCGAGATAGGAGAATGGCCAACAACGCCCGAGAAAGGCTGCGCGTCCGGGACATCAACGAGGCGTTCAAAGAGCTGGGCCGCATGTGTCAGCTGCACTTGAAGAGCGAGAAGCCCCAGACCAAACTGCTCATTCTTCACCAGGCCGTCACTGTCATACTCAACCTCGAACAGCAAGTCAGAGGTCAGGCACTGTCCTGCATAATGCAATTGTGTTGTGTTTATATAAGGTCTGTCAGTCAGTTAAAATATTGAATTATTGTTAATCATAGTCTAAAACATTGATTTTTTAATGTAAAAAATGTGTTAACTGTGTTAAAAATAACAGCGTTAAACAAATGTAGTTAATTCTATGCGGCAGCCATGTTGTCGACAAAGTGTTACATATTTTTCTTTTTTCTTTTTTACACTACTATGGATATATATTGTTTTTACCTGCCATACAGAGTTGTTCACAAGCTGCATGCACAATAAAGAGCAGCCTCATCATTGACAAACGATAGAAGACGTTTGCTATTTTGTTTCATACAGTGCATTGTAAAAATCCACCTCATCCAGCACTCTTTTTGTTTTCTGACTTATAAAGTATCCTGTTTTGGTGTGAGAAACAAACAGTTTAGTGTGTGTGAGTGAGTGAACTGTCTGAATGTAGCGAATTGAATCGCAAACAGTTGCAGACCTTATTGCAAAATCATCTGACTGATTAGATCAATAGTTATTAATTCACAAATCTGGCATCACTAGTTCTGATTCTAAACAGACACTTCATGATTGCTGAAATATTATCAGTAAACATGATTCTCAGGTCGGTATGGTAATCTCCACTGTCAGGTTTATCAGTAATATTATACTAGGACCCTTGACAACAGCTCTAATTTATATTAATCAGTTCAACAGATCTCAAAGAGCTGGATTCATAAGGCAATGAAAGCTTTATAAAAGTGTTATGATTCCTTTTTTTCCGTATTTCTTTATGAGCTATGGTGAGATAATATAAGTTCTCCTGTGTGCAGAGAGGAACCTAAACCCCAAAGCAGCCTGCCTTAAGAGGAGGGAGGAAGAGAAAGTGTCAGGGGTTTCAGGTGACCCCCAGCAAGCCCACCCACCTGTGCACCCGGGCCTCACAGACACATCCAACCCCATGGGCCATCTGTGAACAGCCAGGTAAACACGAGCAGCTCCACACAGAGATGTAAAATGGGCTGGTGGTTAAAACACGACACCACAAGCAGGATGTTCTTTGCTTTGCTGAGACACAAGCTCTGCTGCAAAACCCAGTGAGCTGCACCCTTGCCTGCCTTCCTTTAGGGACATTTATATTGGAAATGCACACGATGCCTTAAACTAGGTTTCGGAATGCACTGGACTGATTTAGACATTATAGTAAGATATTATATTACTCCTGTTGTATCCAGTTATAGTACTATTTAAAATGTTGGTGTCTGTAAGATTTTTGGAACATTTTTGACAGAAGTCTCTTATGCATTTAATTAATCAAAAATACAGTAAAAACTATGAAATAATATCATTTCAAATTCTAAACTTTAAAAAACTATTTTCTTTTTTTTTTAATGTAATTTATTCCTGTGATGCAAAGCTGCATTTTCAGCAGCCATTAATCCAGTCTTCAGTGTCAAATGATATGCTAATATGCTGATTTGGTGCTCAAGAAACATTTTTCAGCATTATTATCAGTGTTGAAAACAGTTGCTGCTTAATATTTGTGTAGAACCCGTGATTCATTTCTTTCAGGATTTCAGGATGGATAGAAAGTTCAAAAGAACAGCATTTATTATGAATGTCTTTACTGTCACTTCTGATCGATTCAATGCATCCTTGCTGAATGAAAGTATTAATTTCTTTAAACAAAATCATACTAACCCCAAACTTTAGAATGATACCGTATATAAACATGAGCATGCGATTTGAGTGTCTACAGTTGGTCATAAGCAGTGTCCTTATCTTTCCCTCACTTTCAGATCAAATAAATGGAGTGTGTTAGACAGAGTCGGCGACCTTGCTTTCCACGGGCGGACAGGACTTACAGTTTGTGACACAAATTTGAAAAGACAGACCACTCGAAGCAAAATTCCACCGTTAAGCAATCCTGAGATAGAAGAAAACTGGCAAGTGCCCAGCTCCCTGTGAAGACATCCCATATCGATAAGCAACTTTCTGCCCACCGGAGAAAAAAAAAAATCATATCAAGCATAAAAGCCCCTCAGCACATATCGCTGTCTGCAAGCCGTGTGCCGCAGCTGTACAATCAGAGACTGTCGCCACCCCCTCCACCCTGTACGTGGAAGATGCCTTGTGCCTAAACTGAATTGACGAATGCATTGTAACAGCAGTTGTTGTTGTTGTTTTGGTTTCTTTGTTTGTTTGTTTTTTTCCTATTTATTATGTTACCGAGCTGTAAGTCTATGTTTAAAGGGAAAGTTCTGCCATTGCTCTGAGAAGCTGGTGGCGTTTCAGTAGATCTGCAGTTTGTCGTGTGCTGTCCGCAGCCTCTCTCTACTGTCGGTCTGTGGAAGGGCCTCTCCAATCGATGAGATTACCGTATTCAGATCAAATCCCATGCCCTCGTGAAAGAATCTGATGGTGTTTGAGCGTTCAAAGACTCAAGGATCCCTGTGTCTAAAAAAAGAAAAAAGAAATAATATATTATTTATATTTATCATACATTCATTCCACAAATAACAGCATGAGAAACCAAAACTACCTAATTCTTTATGACGTTTGTGAATAGTGTAGCTCAGAATCCTCATCCCAGACAGAAAGTTATGAACAGCCTGTGCTTTTTCGACCAGATTCCCTGTGACGTGGAGACGATGGTGGAACGGCAAACTCTGGCTTTACTGAAAGGTCAAAGGTCAAACACAAGCTGCCATGTTTATACTCATTAGTGAGCCGTACAGATACGGAAAGCAGAAAGTTACAAAACCCCAGCATTCCCTGCATATTTCTTAGTGTCTTAAACAGGAAAGGGGACGCAGTCTCGTTCTTTTGATTCCTTTGCCATATAGTGTTAAGGGTAAAGCGAAAGACGTATTTCAGATTCAGTTTGTTTGTTTTCAAGCGTTACTTTATTTGGTCGAAGAGCCGTGGTTATGCCGAGGCCATCTGTACTGAGGGATCTCTGTTATACCGCGCGACATGGCACTGTTGGAAAAGAGTTGAATTTAAAACGAAGACCATTCATTCACCTGGCCTGAATTGAAGTTTTGTTTTGTGTTCTTTTGTTTTTCTAAAACCATTAACAATTAAAAAAAGAGAAGAAGAAAAAAAAGAAATACTCAAAGTAACCATATGTTATTTTTGTTTATTTGTAATTATATACAAAGCAGCTCTCTAGGCTTCATAGTAAAGCGTATATTTGTCTTGTGAAAATAGAAGGATGTTCTAAGTTACTTAGAATGGCTTTGTCTTTCCCCTCATGCATTGAAGTACTTGATACTTGATCAGCAGAATGTGAGCGCAATGTCTGTTCGAAAAAAAGAGAAGCTCTATGAATTCAAATCCAAATCAGCAAACAGTGGAAATGATGAACAAAGCCAGTTTGGATCAGGATTTTTCTCTGCCATTATTTGTTTTCTTTGTAAATCTAAAGAAAGCAGCAGTCACCACTTTCATTTTATAAAGTATGCGTTTTTCTTTGACCAAAACTGACTTTTTTTTTTTTTAAACGTCTTGCTTTGGAACTGTTTTTCTGTCCCGTCTGTTTGTCTTCCATGTGTTCACACCATTGAAACAAGACTGCCACATTCTCTATGAATCACTCTCTCGGATACGAAGTCAAAAGAACAAAACTTAAGGAAAGATTTCAGAACATCAGCATTATTTTCCTTCTGTGTGTTTTTCTCTCTCTCTCTTTGCTTTGTGGAGAGTTTCCTTCCTTAACAAAATGATCGTGAAATCCACTAGTCTTTGTGGCCTTGTTATACATTTCAGTATTCAAGAGCTTGTATTTTTGCCGGCTGAAAATTAATCAAGGTTATGAGTCATCTTTTTGTCTGTTGTTTTGTTTTCCCTGTTGTTTTCCACCTTTTCCTTTTTTTCTGTGTTCTGTTTTTCCTCTGTTGGATATGTTAGATTTTGCTGTATGCCCTGATGCTTTCCCTCATAACAAAAAAAATGTATGTAAAGGATTAAAAAAAAAACATTTGGCTTATTTTTCACTATAGTTAGTCTTTTATACAATAATATTGTAAGAACATTTCTTGAATTCTAAATATTACTCTTTCTAGATTTTTGAAATCAAAAGTTTTGAGTAAAAAGTTTCTTACTTTATTTTACTATATTAGATAGTAAAAAAAAATGTACGGTTATTTACCATAACCTGTCCATTATTATAAAAAAAGATTATGGATAGCATCTTAAGAACATAAGTAGGATTGTAGCTGGCAGTCTAGTATGTATGGGGTATTGTACGAGCTCGATGTTTCAGAGGATGTGCTCTCCATCTCTGTCTCCAGTCTGCATTGTTGGTTGATGAACGATTTGTACCCATGACAAAATTCAAGGTATTGTCAATACACATCAGAAAACCAGCAGTAAGAAGTCGAATTCTTTTTTCTTTTTTTTCTGTCTCTGTAACAGAAACACAATATGTATATAACATTTATGTAGCAATAAATGTGCCATCTTTTTTTAACTCAGTTGTATGTGCCTTTATTTTCCTCTTTCAGCATTTGGTTTTTATCTACAACTTTATACAGCCAAACTGGATTAAAATACATAACTTCCTTTCACTCAAATCTGAATTATAGAGTTAAACATTGGAATTGTGTGTGCTGGGCTTTTTTATACAAATAAGCTTTACAAGATCTGTCATCATTTACTCACCCTCATGTCGTTCCACACCTGTATAACTGACTTTGTTCTGTGAAACATAAAAAAATATATTTTGAAGAACCAAACAGTTCCCATTGACTTCCATTGAATGGCCAAAAAATATAATGGAAGTTAAAGGAAACCAAAACTGTTCGGTTACTAATTCATTAAATTATTTTCTTTTGTGTTCAGGGTGAGTGATTGATGACAGAAGTTTCATTTTTGGGTGGACTTTCCTATCATGTCTATTTAAAGAACTTCACACACACTGTTCAAAAGCGCTATGAAACCCTTTTCTGTTTTCAGTGTAGTGTGAAAACACACAATGTGATATTTGAAGGGGGAAAACGGTGTAGTCTGTTTGGCTTTTATTATTTGAAAAAAAAATTCTTTGCACTGAGTGAAATCATTTTCTTTTAAGAGTAATTCGAATTTCAGTTGTAAGAGTTCAACATCTGTCTTTAACTTGACTGAAAGACAAATGTACTTTGTCTCTAGTGAATGATCATGGGAAAATAACACTGGAGTATGACAGTCTTGACTGATGCTCTTTCATTGTGGGGTGTGTGCATATTCCCACGTATTCCCAGTGTCAATTGACTTCGCTTCCTAATTTAATTATTTGTTTTTCCCATTTCTGTCAGTTATGAAATATGGGAGCACCTGTCTTGTCCCAGTAGTGGTGAATGGTTTACAGCCAGAGTCTTTCTGCGCAATGCAACTTCCACCATACACTCTTAAAAATAGAGGTGCTTCAAAAGGTTCTTCAAGCGATGCCATAGAAGAACCATTTTTGGTTCCACAAAGAACCATTCAGTTAAAGGTTCTTTAAAGAACCATCTCTTTCTTACCTTTTTATAATCCGAAGAACCTTCTTTCGCCACAAAGAACCTTTTGTGAAACAGAAAGGTTCTTCAGATGTTAAAGGTTCTTTATGGAACCATTTAGACAAAAAGGTTCTTCTATGGCATCGTGAAACACCTTTATTTTTAAGAGTGTACCACATGAAACTCAAAAAACAGTTTGCTCTGTTTATTTCTCATTTTTCATCTCATCCGTACATTTTTATGCAATGACATCAGTCCTGGCTGTCCAATTAAACTAAATCCCAGTACTCATCTCCTTGGCTTACACATCTGCCCTAAATTATGTCTCTGTACATGTGTGCGAGAGACGCTTTCTCATTGGATTTGTCCTGCGCTGACAGGTTGGGCCCCAGATCTGCTCTGAGACCGAAACGGCACTGGGGAAGAGGTTGCTAAATACTGGAGAGACCTCGGCTAATTCTGACTCTGTCAGCCTTCCAACACAACACCTCATCCAGAGGAACCTAGGTGGGAAATCTTTGTCCCATTTCCTCCCTGTGTGTGTGTGTGTGTTTGTATGACTGTGTGCATATTCCTTCCTGCCTTTATCAAAACCGTGCACTGGAGTGTTTACTTGCAGTCAACTAGAAAAAATTAGCAATGTTTTATAAGCATGGGACCACCATGTTTGCAAGCTAACTTCCTGTGGATCTGGCTGCCTGGGACAGCCCAGCGAGGGAGTGTCATGGTGGGCTTACTGAGAGGAGCATTTTGGCTTCTCCTGCTGGACCATAAACAAGGTTCTCTCAGGCTGACATGCATTTGATCATGACGTTCCTGCTGACTCTTTTCCTTTCAGTGAAATCGCTACTGGGTTTACATTTGATGACCACGGTTATGGTTCTGTATACCAGACTTTTATATTGACCAGATTTTAAAATTCATAAACTGAATTCTTTTAAACAGGTACTAATGCATATTACTAATACTTGCTTATATTGCAGTATACCAGTTTTACAGTGCTACTTATCAGCCAAACTGTGGCCCTACACAAATTCTGTTCACTTGGTGTCCCGTGACCTTTTTAAGTGATGCATTTAAAGTGAGAGCTGTTGATAAACTATTATCTAGCATAAAATTAATCTAGGATGAAAAGTAGCTATCTTTAAAAGTTGATATCCACTCCTTGAAATTAGCATTTTGGTCAGTCCAGTGTCAGAGGTCTTGACTTTCTAAATGATATGCAAGTCCAACAAGTTAAAATCATACATTCTTGCTTAATCTATTGAACTGATATTAAATAAATATTTTTAATTATGAACTAATTTTAATCTAAAAAATGTATGGATGTAGCTACAGCAAGCAACTTAATTATTTGCAACTGTTACCTACTGTCATGAAACTGCACATACAGTGGGTACGGAAAGTATTCAGACCCCCTTACATTTTTCACTCTTTGTTAAATTGCAGGCTTTTCACAATGACAGCAGCATGACGTTATGAGGTTAATACAATGTTTCTCCTAAAAACTCTTTTAGAACTTTGAGTGTTTGTAATAACTTTCTACTGTGACCTAATGTAGATTTTGTATATAATATTATGACACAAATGTATTTTGAGTAGCTTTTTATAGAATAAATACTACACCGGTTGCATTTCTAGCTGCTACTTTATTCTTTTAAAAATACCCCAAAATGCATGGAACACACATAAACCATTTACTGTTGTAATCGAAAATGTATTAATTAGGGATGCACCGATATGAAAATTTTGGCCGATACCGATAACCGATTATTCTTTATTTTTGAAAGCCGATAACCGATATGTTGGCCGATAAATCTATGTCCAAATTGTTATATATTTTTTGAGAGCCTGATTACAAAAAAGGTCTCATCATTAAAAGCCACATCCCAAACACTAAGCAGCCTAGTTTGAACGGTGTACATTTTAAAAATAATTTTACTCTCCCATTACCAAATTTAGTCAAAGTCTTACAAATATCATCTGTGTTTAGGTGGGAATTATGATCACACAATAGACAATACTGATTGATGGATCTGCAGGGAATCATCTGTCTAGGAGTCATCAATCCTGTAAAAAGGCGAGGCAGACAGTGGATGAACTTCATTCTCATCAGACTGCACAATTAATGGAAATTAATAGAAATGATGCATAACATAAAGTAAACGCGTGAATAGCAATAAAGCCATTCAATAAAGGATGGTGAGTAGTGGAGCCCTTTGTTCAAAAATAAATGGGCACAAACCTGACTAAATATGTAGACGTCTCTTTATTTTATTCAAAATATAAATAACTTCCAATTGATTTGCATGATCTAGCATTCCTGGCAGGCTGACAGAAATTAAGAAATTACCAGTAACCAAGAATTAAGATATCCAATCTATTTATTCCAAGTTTCTCAGGATGAAATAATAATTCAAGTGATTCTATAATTCTAACTGTAACAGCTGGAGCGTGTGTAAGGCTGGACTAGGCTTTGTGTTCCTCTGGCCACAGATTGGAAATTAATGGGGACTTGGGGCAAAAATGCTATCAAATTGGACAAAAATGCCCCTGCACAATTAAACTAAATCTATTACGGCTGTTGCGAATAAAGTGAAAATGAAATGAAAAGTGTCGATTGCGGCATTAAATTTAGATGTGCATCATGCATTTAGATGTTGCATCACATTTCTTTTTAAGTGTTTTTACAGTGTTGCGCATTTTGACCAATCACACACTATTCCGTTGACTTTATGAATGCAGTGGCCAATCAGAAGCGTTCAGATGAGTCATCGCTGAAACACTGGAGTTTCTTTTAGGGCGCGCGCTCGTTGACTGAATTCTGCATTCTAGTTCTCTCATCTTAAACAACAAAGTGCAGATGTGCCTACGATGTAAGAGATTCATCATCATGTAGACTATAGACAGCTTCAGTGTTTAACGGGGGAGTTTTTTGAGAATCCTTAAACTGGCGCTAGACTGAAGTCAGTGATAATATTCTTTGATAATGTAGCCTTTGTAATGTTCTTTGCTCGGTTTCACTATAATTTATTTGTTGTTTTCAAAAGCATCCCCACTGTGCTTTCTTCACAAATCGCACCCTGAGTATAACACTAATATGTAAACTCTAAAGATGTCAAGCTGAATGAACTGAACTGCAACGCCTCCATCGCTCGATCCAATCCGGACCCCCGGATCCCTGCTGAACCTGCTGCAGGGATTTTAAATAGAGCTTCTTTTGTGTTTCCCTGAAACTCCACAGTCCTCTCAGCTACAAGACCGATTGCACCCACACAGAGAAATGAAAACACAGCAGACCCACGACAAAGGGTGGAGTCATCAGTACTTACACTAGATACTCACAAGTCATTTGTGCTCTTAGTTCTTGGCTTAAGGACAGTTACATTTACAGGACAAATGAGTTCTGTTACTAACTAACTTACTAACAGGTTTGGAAATGACATGAGGATGAGTAGGCCTAAGTGATGAGAGAAGTTGCATTTTGGGGTGAACTGTCCCTTTAAGGACACCAAATTTATGCACATTAAAACAAAGCAAACATGGTTGATAAATGATTGCTTGTGAAGTTATCACCCTGTAGTGCTCCTCTAGTTGGTGACCCATTTATCTCCTCATATTATATTAAGGAGGTTGAAACAGGTTTTCTTCTTCACTCTGATACATTTGGAGGAATAATAGAACTGTCAGAAACAAGTTTTATTGGGGGAGGACAGTGTCTGTCACGGCCAGATCTGATGAGATTTGTTAACTGCACACCCTCAGAAAACAGCCAGTGCATCTTCCTGCTCACTAGTAGCCGATATTCATTGTCTGAACAACAGTTTTGTCTTAATCATCAGTTATGTTTTGTTGAAGTTTATTCAGTTGTATTGTTTTTATATCATGTAGGTTGATTGTAGTTGTTGTTCTATTAACATTACTGGCTCCATCCTATTATAGTGTTTCTATTAGTTTTCTAGCAGTGTGAAGACACTGCGGTGTTAAAGTG